GAAAAATGCCTTTCTGCGATATTTTAAACTAAAATTAATAGTCGTTTAAAATCGGATTAATTAAACTTGAAATCAATTAATATTTCTCAAAGTATTTTACTTTTTAAAGATTTTTAGTAAAGAGAATTACAAAATAAAAAAAAATTGCGATTAAAAAACAAAAACACAAAATCAAGAAACTCCTTCCAATCAATTTATGGTTTTACATTCGCTTTCAAATACAGCAAAGTATTTTGCTTATTGGAAATATTAAATTTAATCTTGAAATTAAAACTAAAATAAAAGCTTCAAGAAAAATCTTTAATTTTTAAAAAAAATTAATTTATACCTTAGGTATCGCGTTTCTTTGAAGGTACTTACAGTAATCTCCAAACAAAACTTATCCGTCCTGGGTATGACGATAAGTTACATCTGCCTCCTGGGTAAGACGATAAACTGCGTCCAACGGCGCGGCCTCTGGTCGGAAGATTTCGAGGAGTGTGGAACCACCTCTTGATTACTGGTGTTCCCAGGTCCACCCTGAATCGGGGTGGTGGTACCTGTTGGGGTCCCAGCTATGGGCAAATAGTTAACCCAGAAACTGGGGTCAAAACACTATGAAAGTGTAAAGGTGGGTTTTAATACCAGAAATACGTTCTAAAAAAATATTACCAGAAAGATTTTTTGAAGGAAAAAAATTACCAGAAATGAATTTCTTGAAGGAAAAAATATAGGTTGACCCCAAAAAACGAGAACTTTTTAACAATCCAATAAAACCAAGAGTGATGGAAGAAAAATATTTTATTCATAGTAATTGAAACCTTAAACCATGCCATTTAAGAAACAATGATGGAATTTTCATTTTTTAAAAATTACGTCCTGTAGATGGCGTCCTCCTGTACGAATGCATTCTTGAAATCTGCTGTTGAGATTCCTCATTGACTGCTGCAACATCTCAGCTGGGATACTGTGAATTTCATCTTGAATTCTAAATGGCGAAATGTTAACTTGCTCAAGGTCACTGTCTCGCAGTGTTGCCACTTGCTCATGTCTGGCAATACGCACTTTAAAAATTCCTGTTTTTTTTGGGTCACCCTTTATTACTAGCAATAAAAATTTTGTTGTCATTAAATAACCCATTGAGATTGATATGCCGCAAAAACAAACCAACACTTATCTTCAATTTCGTTGTGGGTGCAGCATACGACACATTGATTATTAGCAGCAAAATAGGCATTTCCTCGATTTTATGGTTTTATTTGAAGAGATGTTAACTGATGTAAAGCATAACGAATTACAGGTCTTATTTTCATGTTCTGGTATAAAATTTTTCATTTTTTAAAATAATCTTCTATGTTTAATATCACAATACACATTGACACCAGCTTGAACAGACATTAAAAACAAAATATGAAGTCTAGAAATATAGTAAATTTTTTAAAAACTTATCGAGATTTTCCTTGAACGGACAGAGGTAAGAGTTAAACAAAGCGGGATCCAAACTTTTCTGAACATGATAAAGAATAATAGAGAAATCGTGTAGCAATTTGGTGGGAAATTTTCAATGTGTAACTTGATTAACCGGTATTTATTTACAACGAGCATTTAGCATACAATCTACTAGTGAATGAATCCGAGATGACCCTGTTTACGTGATATCGCGGGGCCTACCAGTTTAGACATTTACAGTTAAAAACCGCCACGCCACGTACACAGAGTCAACTCATCCACATTCCTTTCGTATTCCACTGAAAAGGGGGCAGTTCCACTCAGCTTTTGCCCTAAAGAATAACTACTTTGTGGAAGAGACACCTGTCTGGATGCTTCCCCAAACGCTACAGTCTTAACATCTTCAAGTCCTACTCGTATATTCCTATCCCATATCTTATTCATTAACCTTCTATCTTAGGTGGCTCTTGAACCTTGGTTGAACATTAGTAAAAACAAAGAAAAAGAAAACTGGCCGTATTTCTCAGTGTTTGATTATGATGCATTAAAATGAAAATCAGAAGAGAGCTTTGCCTTCGGAACCTTGCAGCTGATCTTTCCTCTGATCGAGCTCTAACAGCTCAATGAATGAAAAACTGGTTTGTAATGTTCAATACCTCAAAAACCAAGCTAGTATTATTTCATCATCACCGAGTAGGCATCTAGTTATTTTTCCAGTTACAATGAACGGTTCTACTCTCAATGGGGGTCCATGCATTGAATATCTATTGGTTCACTTCCGCCCTCAACTGGAACTCATATACGATCCATTATTAAGATGTTGGAAAATGGTGGGCTCAATCTATCGTTACAGGAAGTACAAGACACCTGCCATGCTTTACCGCTACAAGATTCAGATTAGACAATATATATATATATATATATATATATATATATATATATATATATATATATATATATATGTGTGTGTGTGTATATAATTATTTATATATTATATGCGCGGTACTTATTAGCTGTATCTCTGATATTGAGCGCTTTCTAACATATTTGGTTGGATAGATGTGAATTTGTGGCCCTGGGTTTCACGCTTTAGCGATCGTCAGACAAATACGGGTGGTGTTGTGTCTATACATACGCATGCGTATGTATAGACACAACACCCGTATATACATACATATGTCATATCCGAAACTGCCCACATATGTTTATATATGTATGAGTCCCGACGGACGACCAAGTATGTATATGTGTCTGCGTACTCCATTAGACGTATGAACATGCATCGATGTTTGCGTTAGTACGATGACACAACGACGACGTTTCCCCTACCACTTCCATAATAACACCAATACACGCAATCTACATAAACCCAAAATTTTTAAAAATTAATCAGTTTGTCTGACGATCGCTAAAGCGTGAAACCCAGGGTCTCAAACTCACATCCAAATATATATATATATATATATAAAAAGTTTAAATTAATATTTATGGTCATAATTTATTCCAATGGAATAAATTATGACCATGGAATATTAGTGTTTAAGACTTTTTATTATATCCTTACTCTGTCCTGGACATTGAGTTCTACCTGGATCCTTCCTCTTGGAAATTTTTTTTTTTTTTTTCTGAAAATATACATGTATGGGAATTTTTTTTATATATATTTTGCATATGTATGTATATTTTCCACTAATATTATCTATATATATATATATATATATATATATATATATATGGGGTATTGCTGGCAGATCTGGATTGGTGTTACTCAATCCTAACTTTACAGGTTTGAATCGTTCAGAATCGTTTACTTGATTTGCACGAGACCGAGACAAAACTTGAACTCGCCTCGCCGTTTCCATTTTCTAGCAACCGTTACGCTATCCGAACATCCATTCATTTTTATTATAATAAATTGAAATGTCATATGATATTTATAATTGAACTTTTTATTGTTGTTCGTTTTCCGCACCAAAGTAAATAAAAGAATAGCTGTTTCAATGACACACCAAAGCATTCAACTTACTTTAAAACTGACTTAAGACTAGATTATCGGGACAGAACTATCTTGACTAGGAGACTACGTATATTGGAAATCGTTATTTCTTTTTTTCGTATTGCATATACAAACTGGCAACATCGGTGCTTGGTTAGTCATCACGATGTATTTCAGGCCACCCTGAAAATTTAGATCTTAGGTTAGTCATGCTTGGCATTGATGGCTAAGGAAAATGTGTTGGTGTCTATTCCCAAGGAACACGTTTCAAACGTGACGAAATGCAAATTTAGTATAATATGAAATGTGTCTTTCACTTGACATGTTGGTCAAAACAATGTTGCTGTGTCCGGCCCAATTCACAGAAACGCTGAGTTAATAAAAAAATAAAATAAAATCAATTCTTTCCATCATGTCTTTCAGACAAGAACTTTTTTCCTCTTCACACTTCCGGTGTCAGTTGAAATATATACGCCATTAAGAGGTTCATACCAATTCTCCCATTCAAACGAGTTTTTTAATTTTTTTAACCGTTTTTTTTTTCATTAAGGAATATTAAAGTATTGTGTCTTTTAAAATTTAATTCTTAAAGATCTAAAAAATTGCCACAGCTTAATGATTTTTCATCAATAAAAGTACTTTGTCATTTTTATTACATCTGAATTTTATTTCTGCTTTACAAGGTCATTTTAGTATCGTCCCCTTTGCTTTTTATTATCGCCATAAGCTTTCTCTTCCTATTTAACGAGTTTGAAGTCGCGATATTGGACCTGGAGATTGGTTTGAATTTCAAATTCTAAAGAATGTTACTTTTTCTGTTTTATTGAAAAGCATTTGTGCATAATGAAATCCCATTTGTTTGCACAATTGCATGTTTATTTGTGCATACTTCGTTTTTTTTTTAGCTAATTTTATACACTAGAATTTTTGGCAACACGCTAACGAGTGTTGAAGTTATCGCTAACATTTTTTGTCGAGATTTACAAATTTTGAAAACCAATCGATGAAATTTGAATAAGCTGATCTGTTTGGAAAATACTTTGACAAAAACACTACTACGCTGTTTAATAATTTCTTTAATTTTGTACTTCTTGGTAAACAACGATTAAGAAAATTTCTTGTTTTCCTTTTTAATAGCGAATGAATAAATTGTTAGGATTTATTGCTCTTGAGCATGCAACATAGAACTGGCTATGCGTAAATATTTCTGGAGCCAAATTCCAACATTTTTTATCGTTTGGCTTTCTGATTTGTTTATGGTTCTTGCAAACGAAGTAGGAACTGGAAACTGGATTATTGTTAAAAAAAAGGAAAGGTTTTTCCAAAGATACAGAAACACATAAGAATTAGTCAAAATAAATTGTTTTCGTTCGAAAACAACTAATTTCAGCTAGTTTAGGCAGTTTACGTAAAGTCATATTAAAAGACTTTAATACTGTATTTTGTACCCCCATACTGGTGCGCACTTCTATCCAAAATTTGGTTTCCATTGGTCAATGTATGATTATTTTAGAGGTTATGATGAACAAATGGACTGACTAAGGGAAGACACAGAATTTTATGGACAGATAATGATTTAAGTATAGAATATGAAATATGAGAGAAGCAGAGACGGGGAGACAGACAGAGGCAGAGACGGGGAGACAGACAGAGGCAGAGACGGGGAGACAGACAGAGGCAGAGACGGGGAGACAGACAGAGGCAGAGACGGGGAGACAGACAGAAGCAGAGACGGGGAGACAGACAGAGGCAGAGACGGGGAGACAGACAGAGGGAGACGGGGAGACAGACAGAGGCAGAGAGCAGACAGACAGAGGCAGAGACGGGGAGACAGACAGAGGCAGAGACGGGGAGACAGACAGAGGCAGAGACACAGACAGGGGAGACAGAGGCAGGAGACGGGGAGACAGACAGAGGCAGAGACGGGGAGACAGACAGAGGGAGACAGACAGAAGAGGCAGAGACGGGGAGACAGACAGAGGCAGAGACAGAGACAGGGCAGAGACAGACAGAAGCAGAGACGGGGAGACAGACAGAGGCAGAGACAGACAGAAGAGGCAGAGCAGGGAGAGACGGGCAGAGACAGACAGAAGAGGCAGAGACGGGGAGACAGACAGAGGCAGAGACAGACAGAGGCAGAGACGGGGAGACAGACAGAGAGCAGAGACAGGGGAGAGACAGACAGAGACGGGGAGACAGACAGAGGGAGACAGACAGAAGAGAGAGACGGGGAGACAGACAGAGGCAGAGACGGGGAGACAGACAGAGGGAGAGACAGACAGAGGCAGAGACGGGGAGACAGACAGAGGCAGAGAGGGAGACAGACAGAGGCAGAGACGGGGAGACAGACAGAAGCAGACAGACAGAGGGAGACAGACAGACAGAAGCAGAGACAGGGAGAGACAGACAGAGGCAGAGACAGAGACAGAGACGGGGGAGACAGACAGAAGAGACGGGGACAGACAGGGAGACGGGGAGACAGACAGAGGGGCAGAGACAGGGAGACAGACAGAGACGGGGAGACAGACAGGCAGAGACAGAGACAGAGGCAGAGACGGGGAGACAGACAGTTACTATATCTAATTTTTGCTACCTGTCCTTACAAAGTAATATTGATACAAACATATTCGGCTCATTTAATTTCCCTTTATTATTTATACCCGTGTATGCAATTTGTCGAATGTCTGGGGGTTGTAAGAGGTTCGACTGACAAAACTCATTAAATCTCCAGTATTTTTCTTCATATTCTTGCTGTCTTCAGCACTGCCGTAACCTGGGTAGTTACATTTTTTTCAGTTTCTCTTCAAGTGTTATAGTGACAATTCCCAGTGCATCAATTATGGGTACAACGTTAATTTCCAAGGAGAAAGACTATGAAGTATGTTGTACTAATCGCCGAAGAGGGGAAGGGTTTACCTATCTGCTAGATCTGGATTGGTGTTACTTAATCCTAGCTTTACACGTTTAAATCGTTCAGAATCGTTTACTCGACCTAGTGACTGTAATAGACTAAGGTAGAACTCGAAATCGTCGCTTCCATTTTCTAGCAACCGTTATACTATCCGAACATCCATTCATTTTTATCATAATAAATTGAAATATCATTGTATTTATAATTAAACTTTATTGCTGTTCGTTTTCTCGCCCCCAAAGGAAATAGAAGAAAAGTCTTTAAAGACAGAAATGTTTCAATGACACATTGTACAATTCACCAAAACATTCAACTTACTTTTAAACTGACTTAAGACGAGATTGTCGGGACAGAAGGCGTATTAAGAAATATATTGTCTTCGATTTTAATGGTATGAGATTTTTGTTCATTGAATATTTATCTATTTTTTTCTATAGCAATTTTTAGCAATTGTAGGTTTTTATCGGGCTCGGATGCTAACCCAATGTCTAACCTTCCACGTCTCTAAATGGGGTTTTGGGACCAGCTAATGACTGCAGGTTTTTCTCTAAACTGGACTACCTTACAAGGCTAAAGGGCTCTGACTGTCCATTTATTTAGCTATAGCTGAGAAAGGAGTTGATTAATGCATTTCCTAAATGCAGATAGTTTAAGGGTTATAAGCGAGGAAAGTGAATTCGGCCTGCCAAGTTCAATTCTCGCTTTTCATGAGCACTAATGTAAACCGAGAATGATCTTGGAAAATGTTTTAATCAATCTTCCTCCAGCTAAAAATTAAATAGCAGGGAAGACTGGGCATTCTTGTAAACAGTCTAGAAAGATTCCAAACCAGCTTAAAGAGGGATTGATTCCATTAGGCTATTTTGCCCAAGACACACCACTGCTGCTATGACTTCAATACACGTGGTATCTCTACGAAAGTCGAAGTCCAATCTTTTACCTGTAACATTTAGGAATTTAAGTAAAAGAATACAAAAGAGCTCAAACATGCAATGCATTAGTAATTAATCGTAAAATGTCCAAGTATAATTTTAAATTAAAGAACGCATTTTTAATTAAAAGAAAGTAATATATTAAACGGAGGCACGGTGGAGTAATGGATAGCGGCTCGGATTGAGGAATCGGAAGGCCGAGTTCGAATTTCAGTAGAAACCATGACACTCACGTGCTAATATCCTTGGGAAAGGTATGAATCCTCTTCTCCCACCCCCAACTATGGGTAAATAGCAAGAGAGGCCAGGTTCTATAGCCTTGAATGGCAACTGGTCTATCGCAGAAAGAAATGGTAATCTACTACGGGGAAAAATCTGCCTCGCATGGTACATCACTGACTATATTAAAAGGCGAAAAGATAAAGACAAAGCCCTAATTTCTGAGTCTAAATTTTTCGTCCTGGATCATACAGCATATCGCATTCCTTAAATCTGCCTCGTCATGTATCAAAAGATACATAATCGCCTAAACATGTATCACGCATAACTGACTATATTAAAAGGCGAAAAGGTATAGACAGTGCCCTAATTTCTGAGTCTAAATTTTTCGTCATACAGCATATCGCATTCCTTAAATCTGCCTCGTATTACAATGTGGAATACTTGAATACATTTTTTCCAATTATTGTTCTTTCACATTTGTTTTTTTTCTTCATCTTGAAGCATTGTAAAAAGCAGTCCGCCATTTTTCTAAAGACAGGGCTATCTGGTGTCGCCAGTGCAAAGGAGTATCATTAGAGCAAATAGTGACATTACAGACAAAAAGTCACTTAACGTATTATAGAGACTTCATACGAACAATTTAAAAATAATTAGTAAACACGTGATGGTTGTTTTTGTTAAATTTACTCGAACGACAAATAAAAATAAACCCATGTTTTACTAATGTTTTTGAAAGGATCTATTTAAAAAAAGATAAGGTAAACAGTATTAGGATCTCACATACTCAGTCGGTCATTTATTAGATGTTCTTGCTTTGTGTCATGTTTTTCTCAGCTATATTATTCTTAGATCAATAAAACTAAAACAATAGCCATCCGCCATTTCGTTTGACAAAATAATACTTCTAAAGGAATCTTATTCTTAGCATCGAGTTAAAAAAAAAAAAAAAAAAGAAAAAAAAAGGAAGGAACAAAAAAAATGATTTAACCAACTGTTCGTAAAGATTTAGACTTAAGACATTGGGCAACTTTCTTTTTCATTTCATTTTGTATCAATAGCTTTTGTTCATCCGTTGTAAATTGATGTAGAATTGATAACATAAATTCTAATGAACATGAAACATTTTTATATAATTCTAGCTGATATATCAAATCCTAATGCGGTTTTATAAATTCATAATTTACAGGGTTAGAAATTTAGACATTTTAACGAATAAGAACCTAAATTCCATGAAATTACAAGACAAAATAGGGTCCAGTATTAAATGTCTTAAAATACTGTTTTTAGACTCCCTGACCAATTCAAGTATTTTGCAGAGCTTTACATTATTTAATAAGACAATTAAGAGTAGAGATAAAACCGAGAAAAAGGTCTGTAAACGAATGTAGATGTTGTTCTACCCATTTTCGAACAAGTCAAACTATGCACAGCAAGAGCTCTTTTATTATGTCGATACCAAAGAGTACCCTGTCTTAAAATAAAAACACGAAAATAAGGCGCATGGATCTTAAATTTTAAAAAAACTTTCTCTATTTAAAATTTATATGGAAAATTGATCTTAAAAATTACCGAAGCCACCGTACGTATCTGATCGAATTTATGATAGTCAGCTGAAGATTAAAAAAAAAAAACCTAAAATAATCCAATTTCACGTCAGAATTAATTCGTTTTTCTTCTGTCAGTCTTTATTAAAAGATGTATAAATTGGAATCTACAACCGACATAAAATCACAGCACACTTTCAGTTTCAACATTTTGTTTCTCTTTGTTAATCAGAAATCGAATTTAATCCGATATTAAACTGCATAAACGGACAGGAAATCAGAAATACTGAAAAATGTGCATGAATAAAAAAGTTATTGGCCAAAATATATATATTATAAAAATAAAGAGAGATGCACACACACCTGGTGTAACAGCAAAATGTTCCAAAATATGTAACAATCATAGATCCCACAAAATGTTTAATATCTAAAATACTACTAAACTAATTCAGTTTTTTTTTTCCAGGTTTTCAAATGTTTAGCCATCTTGACACCATTTGTCGAAAGAATCAATGAAGAATCCTTCGAATTATTCAGCTAGAAAGAGAGCAGGTTAAAAGCGTTTTGTGTCAGACCCGCTGTCTGACCAACAGAGCAATCGTGAGAGGAAAAACATCATTCAGGCCTTCAGTAATGGCAAGCAATACTGGGTTCCATCTTCAAAGTCTATCCAAGAACCGTTAAGAGAACGGTGAATAAGTTTAAAAAGAGGGAACAGTAGAGAGGAAAATTGGATCAGGATGTCACAAGAAAAAGGATCATCATTTCAACTTAGAGTTAAATTCAAAAGACGTTTGGCAGGCGGGATAAGAGTTTCATCTACAACAGTCGAAAGGGTAGTGAAAATAGACTTGAAAATGAAGTCATACGTAAAAGCTCTGAGTAACCTTGCTCCTGCAGGACAAAGCTTCATGAGCTTCCGATCCTTAATTATGATTAATTAATGATGAACATTTTTGTTTATGATCGATTTCATCACGATATTTCTTTTAAGCTTGGATAGTAATTATACATTCTTATACACTCAAAGTAGAGTCCAGTAGTGTTACAAAAATCTCGGAGAATTCCAGTATCATTAATCATTTGTGAGATACAACGGTTCAGAGATTAATCTAATAATTTTGTTGTTACAGCCGAGATTTTATATATATATATATATATATATATATATATATATAGAAGAGAGGTGCCGCAAATCTTTTGAAATGTGATTTATTTATATATGTAAAACAAAGCATAATATTCTTTCTAAATAACTTCACATTACAAACCAAAAAAACGTTTGCGGCACCTCTCTTCTCTTTAATATACATACTTTTCTCTCTTTGGAACCACTACAACCTCTTTCTTTCATATATATATATATATATATATATAGCAGTGGGGGGAACAAATATTCGTACACAATTTTTTTTTAATTTATTGCATTTCAACTAATGAATAAACATACTTTTCATATAATTAACTGTACACACATGCATAATAACTAAATATGCACAGAAAACAGAAGAAATTATTTAATAGAAATAAATCCTATTTATCCATTTTACTGGGTGAAAAAAATATTCGTACAATGCAAATTTCGGATTTTGAAAATGTTAAATTGCTTTAATACTCTAGATTATTCAAGGAAAATATTCTAGAATGTTTCAATAATGTTATCAGTAGTTATTTTTAGCCTAAAAAAGTACAAACAGATCATTCTGTAATTGTGCAAGAAGGTTTTCATCATGGCAAGAGGTAAAGAATTGACAAATTCTCATAAAGAACTGATTGTTAAGCTGTGGGAAGAAGGTAGAAGTTACAAGAAAATCTCAGACATGAATATTCCATTTACTACCATTAGTTCATTAAATGCAAAGTATAAAAACTCAAAACTGTTGAAAACCAAAGAGCAGGTGCTCCACGGAAGATTTCTTCAAGATCTTCGAGGAAATTAATGCGTCAAATTACACAAAATCCAATGGTTACTCATCAAGAGTTGCAGGA